GGCCCGGCGCCCGCGCGGGCCACGCACGCCGCCACCGCTACATCCGCTTCTTCTTCGCTTTCTATACCACCTAGCGGCTCATCGTCTGTAAATTAAACATTAAAGAACAGTTTAGTATGACATATATAATGAAATTATGTGCGTACTGATACTAAATAACTTTTTCGCCAGGAATTTCGTCAGTGCTGCTTAAACTTAGACGAATCACTCTCTGAATCTACCGCTAAAACTATTCATCTAGAAGTTGTTGAATTCAATGCGAACAATGAAATAGTCACAACCCGAAAATAACTGTTATTATTTATTTTATTTTATTTTTAGCCATGGTCGTTCCACTGCAAGGAAATAGATAAGTAGATAGTACATAATTTACATACCATACAAATCATTGTGTTGTTCATCCTGCGGTATTGGTTCGACCTCTGCATTTACGTCGAATGCAAGAGCTTGTTGTGATAAATTCAGCCGGTTCTCTTCCACCCAGTTATTTACCCGATTGTCACTGAATAACAGAAATATTAAAGATAAAATTACATATTAGCAAGACATATTAGATAGATAGTTTGGTATGCGTTACCCAGGCCAGATGTTGTCGAAAATGGTATATGGTGATAATTAGTTGTGTGGCTTCTGTAATTGTTGCGCACATTTTTAAATTTGTTGCGCTTATAGGTTTTTTAATTATTTCACAAAAACATTACCTGCTGGGGTAGCGTTACCCCAGCCAGAGTTTTTTCTTTCTAATGGGAATATTTAAATAATTACTAGCTATAAAATTAATTGTCTAGATGAAGTAAATGTTGTGCCTTATTTTGTATTTGTTCTTTCATCAGTTGCGAAGTTATGCGAGATTCTGCTGGGGTAACGTTTTTGGTTTTGCTAGATCTTTGAAATCGTTAAGCGGATTCTTATCATATTTTGTACATAGCTTATTAGGAATCAGTTTAAATTTGTTGTTGTGTAAAAAACCAAAATAATACATAGCTTAAGGTTATTTCATTAAATAGAAAAACACTTCAATTGGACCCAACACTCTCAATAAGAGCTCTAAAGTCGTACTTTAAACGTTATTTTAAAGCTTGTATGTGAAGTTTCATTAGTATCCTGTAAGTATTCAACAGGTTATGATGATATTAAGTTCTTCACGAGCACGGTCTTGATGCGCGCTGTATTATTTGGCCACTGGATAGGATATATGAACTGAATGCTATGTCAATATTTAGTTTAATAGTTCAGTTGTATATCAGTTACCCCAGCAGGAAATGTTTTTGTGAAATAATTAAAAAACTATAAGCGCAACATTATTAAAAATGTGCGCAACAATTACAGAAGCCGTACAACTAATTATCTATAAGATTCCGATTAATGACGATTTCCGAAAACATCATGCCTGGGTAACGCACACGATAGTTTGAACATGTCAACATATGTTAAACTCACGTTTCTTCTGTATCAGGATCCCAGTTGGTGATAGAGAAGCCAGTAAAAGGTTCACAAATGTGAGCACTGGCTGTAAACGCGGGCAGCAGCTTCGCCGCTATTGTGATGCGCTCTGATAAGTCTATGCTCTGGTCTTCTGGAATATTCTCCTTAATTTCTTCTAAAAACCGATCGTCGGTTCTGGAAAAGAAAATAAAGGAATTTAAATAGTAATAAAAAAGTAGTAATAATTGCTAAAGATAGCTGAAACATCATTTAAAATATGTTTGTTTAAAGATTTTTTTGTTGCAGGTCCCTTATTTTGAAGTATCTTTTCCAAAAACATTTGCAGCATAATAATTTCATACTTTACCTCAATATCAAGGCAAGTGTTTTGTCGTGTATAGGTAGAGTCGCGTTGAACGCTCTATTTGACGATGTTAAATCACCGGTTGTCGCTGCCAGCCTCTCGAAAAATGGATCTGAAAATTAACACTCAGAGATCAATCCACTGGTGAAAACAGCATCAGAATATGTTCAGTAGTTATTGGCCTTATTGTAAACAGGCAGACAAATAATGTACTATAACGCCTACTTTATTTCCGATGCTGAATTTGTTATATTTGCAGATGTTAAAGTTCCGGAATGGCGGATGCGGATGCAAATATTCGCAACATCCCAACATTATTTGATAAATTGTATTGTCACATTGTATATACACGTGAGTAACCCGCGATTTTTAGTTAATTTAGTATGTCTCACGATAGTTATTATAATTTGTATTGTATTGAAAAAAAAATAGCAGAATCCATACATATAAAATAAAGTCGTGTTAGTTACACTATTTATAACTCAAGAACGGCGAATCGAATTGGATGAAAATTGGTGGGGAGGTAGCGTAGAACTAGGAGACGGACATAGGGTAGTTTTTATTCAATACTTTTTTTTTACTTTTTACCGAAAATCACGAACACGAATGGGAAAAAATGGGATTGCGCATACGAAGTCGCGGGCAGAAGCTAGTTATGATATAAAACTTACCTATACAATCATTAGTATCAAAATCCCCGTTGAACACAGCGGGGTTGGCAGCTATGGCACCTTTGGCCCTCTTTTTCTTCTTCTTAACAGGTGCAGCAGCCTCTCCTCCATCGGCTGCTCCATCATCTTGCGTGTTATTATCATCATCATCCTTCTTACCTCTTTTCGCCTGTAAAGTTAAAATGCAATCTTATACTATTATAGAAAGCTAAAGAATTTATTTGTTTGAATGAGCTAATCTCCAGAACCACTGGTATGATTTGAATATTTATTTTTCTGTTGGATAGTGCATTTATCGTGGAAGGCTAGGCTATAAAACATCACGCTGAGATTTATAGGAGACGAGCAGAGCGGGTACAACCGCGCGGAGTAGCTAGATGATAAGCCTGGGTTAACAAAATAATGTCACGGTTTTTCGCCGAAAGAACGGTAAAACGGGTCATATACATTTAAAACCCACTTAATCGTTTCTTTTCTTCTTCAATCTCATTCAACAAATTCTCATAAAGGTAAAAAAAATTGTTAATGTTGACTTTAATAATGTCTAGCAACAAGATTTCTAACTTGTCAATAAACTAGGTATCCTCTTAAAAATATTTGTTTTGATCAGTTTAACCTTTAAGTGCCACACTTAATTGCAGCAGACGTGTTATGACATGTTTAAACATGTTGGCTTATCTTGGCCAATAGTACAATAAACCAGTTTTCAGTTATACTTTATTCAAAAAGAAGCCTTAGAATGAGTTTATTTTACATTTAAAGAAATCAAGACCGCATTTGAGTATGATTGATTGGTTCATCGGAGTCAACCAATCAGAGCAGATCAGAGTGCTGAACGCGTTTCAATTACTTTCAACGTAAAACAAACACATTCTAAAACCTCAAATCAAAATGTAAACCAAAATATGATTATAAATTATTTAACTTACTTGAGCAGCTTTACTAAGCCCACCAGCCATCTTCAAAACATCAAAATGGACAGCATCAACTCTAAATGAGTATATCTTAGCCGACGCATCCACTACTGTTGATGCAGTCTGTAGGTTATCCATCCGAGAGTCATGTCGCCGCAACATAGACGTCATGAAATCAATCAGCTGGAGGTTCCATGCATTATCTTTTGTTATTTTCTGAAATTAATAATTAGATTGATTTTGTGCACTTGCTGTCTGTCTAAACTTTTAGGGGTAGGTGAATAAAACATCTATGCATAAGCTGATAGGCATTGCTCTGATGGTACAGAGTACAGCAGTAACTTACTCAGACATTAAATTCCAGGTGTGCATTCCAGAAGCATGTAGAAAGAATAAAGGAAGATTATGAGTGAAAAGAAATAATTCTAAATAGTTTTCCTAGAAATGTTTACAGGCTCATTAATTACATAGGTACTTAGACTTACACTTCCATACTTACATTTTCAGCATAAAGTTTAAGGCATCCTTGAAAATGCTCTTTCTGTGGCGATGAAGACATGGTGTCTCTGCCTCTTCTGGGTGAGGCAGTGTGAGGAGTTGATGTAGCCAGGGCACGCTCTGATGCCACCAGCGATGACCTTTCAGCATCATCGTCATTACGCTCCTGGAAAGTTATTGAAGTCCCTTAGTCATTTATACCGTATTACATTACAGTTTAATTGACTGATAAAAGTATATTAAACTAACCGATAATTTTAACAGAAACTACTATTATATTGATCAAATCCCTGTAAACTATAATCTAAAAAACTGCACTGTGGCTTGTTAGGGAACTAGATTAGTTACAATATGTAAACATTAGGATATTATAATATGAATTTTTAATGTTATACAGGTTTTACCTCATTTTTATTACTTGCTAGTGGTTTCTGTGGTATAAGACTTCGCCTTCGAATAGAACTATTGCTACTCCCGCCAATACTTATCCTGGTTAGACCAGGCGTAGAACTTAGAGGAGTTTCTAACATAGTTGCGCATACGTAACACAAACCACTATGCAAACAAATACTAGAACAAACACATAAATAAAAAACACATTAAACTAATAAATAAACACAGTAAACACTACAGTATTTACAATTTTTCTAATATTTCAGTCAAGCTTCAATCGAAATCAAAAATCAACGATCTTTGAAGTTTGAAGTTTCAAACGGACCCAAAAAAATAGTGGCGCCCGACAGAAAAAAAAATACTGAAACTTACTATTCCCTATGAAAAATGATCTATGACTATTTTACTGGTTTTTTTTATTTTAATATGTCTCTCATCCATCATTTATAAATATTTTTTTAATGTTTTTAATAAAATTAAGTTAAAACTACGTAGTACACGAAATACTGTACGACGTGCTTGAACATGACAGTACACTTTTGTCAATGTAATTTATTAAACTTATTTTAAAAGCTTATCTAATGCTTTTATTGTATAATCAGGTTATCTACTAATGTAATTTTATATTAGGCCATAACAAATATATTACAAAGTTATAACTTTTTAAAGCCAAATAGTAAGGTTTCAAAGTTCCCCCACTCATTACAGCTGTTTGTAAACGCATCGCTTGTTGCCAACTTCCCGTCAGTCATTTTGTTCAGTGGCTGATTTCTATGGTCGACGATATCGTTAAAAATCTTTAACATCGGCGAGTAATTCTCAAAGTGACATTATGAGTTCTGGAATGCCTGAATTGGGCTCCAAGATAAGCCTAATATCTAAAGCAGACATTCGCTACGAAGGCCGGCTTTTCACCGTTGATCCTCAAGAATGTACCATCGCTTTGGCTAGCGGTAAGTTGACAAATGGATCCTGTTAGCTTCTAACAAGATTTTCTTTCCCACTAAGCTCTAGCAATTACCTGTTTTCCCTCCTTAATTTCCTTGCGATGCTGATTTTTTCGTGCAGGAACATCGATCGACGTCTCTAGAAGCCAGTTCTCAATTTCCCTCCCGATTTATGCCCATCTTTGTTTATTGTTTGGGAAAGCGCTCCAATATGTTTATTATTGGACATTTTACTTGTAATTTTCCATGGTTTTTAACTAAATTTTACTCATTGTTTTTCTTCTACCCTCAAAGAGAAATTGTTGGTCCCGCCTATGACCGCGGTTTCACATTGATGACGTTGATAACGTCTATAAGTATGCTACAATATTGTTTTCTTCAGCAGCCGATGCATCAGCTGAATACCGTCTTTGTAATAATGTAATAATCAGTACTTTCACTATTTTCAGAATCTTGTAGGTAGTTGATAATTAAATTTCACTTACATACTTTATTATGTGAACAGTGCCACTGTATTGAACTAAATTAGATTGTAATACTGTTTTTTAGCTTAGGTACCATCTGTGTAAAATATAGAGCAGACAAAAATTTTGATAAGAACAAATTTTTTTCCACCTACCCTTCATATTGAATTATGTTATGAGAAACTAAAAGTTTTGTGTTATTTCTGTCTACAGTGCGCTCGTTCGGTACGGAGGATCGTGAGACACAGTACCCTGTTGCACCACAGAGCCAGGTGTATGACTACATCTTGTTCCGTGGTTCTGACATCAAGGATATTCGAGTGCTGAACAATGTCCCCTCCATACCCAATGACCCGGCTATCATGCAGATGTCTGTGCCACCCACACTGGGTGCGGGCAGCGCACCGGGCCAGTTCACGGGCCAATACAACCACCCCGTGGTCGGGCAGGCGCCTTACCCCCAGTACCACCCGATGGCAGGATTTCCGGGAGGTGTCCATCCCCAGATCAACAAGACCAGTGAGTTGTCTCCGCAAACCTCAGTGGAGCTGGCACCCCAGCCCCCGCCTGTCACGGGTCCGATTGGCTCAGGAGTGGCGCATCACGCCAATCAAGTGAAAGACCAAGGTTTTTGCTCTTGGATAATTATAGCTTCTGCTTCAACACATGCTACTTTGCGATTTTTGCAGTGTCATAAATAGATACTTTGCTATTCTCACTCTTGGATTTCTTCTCTGGTTAATTACTAATTTACTGAACAATGTAATAAAGTATCTATTTATGATCAAACTACCTGTGCTTTAACAAAGTCTAACTGATCTATCTATGCATGCTATCTAACATTTTTCCAAATCTCTTAACTGGAACTCTTAGTACCTATTTATGTATTATGTGTATTCCTTTTATTAACTAGAAAATAATATTCTAATTCAGATTTCTAAATAAAATTAACTCCGTTAACAGTTAACATTAATAACTATTGCAAATTAAAAAAAATTCATTGTGAGGGTGCCCATATTTATTCAAAAATTTCAAATACCCTAAATATATACCTAACCTTCCTCACATTAACAAGGCCCTAAATACTGGTTAAGAGAAAATTCTTATAATTCAAGAATATATTTATAAATAATTAGTAGAAGTAGTTAGACCTATATTGAACCAAAATTTTTTACAGGATTACAAAGTTTCCTTTCGATAACTATTTATTTTGTGGTGTTGGTTACATCCATGACAGAAATTGTCTAAACTAAAACAAAGAATCATTATAAATCAACATAATGGTGGTGGTTTAATAAAATTGTCACAACAAGCATGCAATATTAATAAAAAATATACAGCATGCAATTTTAATCACATTAACAAAAAAGAAAAAAATCGCAACATGCATATATCATTCCTCCTTGGTCTGTTGCTTGCAAATGAAGAAGCAATGTTTGTCATCAGAAGCTTATGCAGAGCGTCAGCACTTAATGAATTAATGTTGTTTTTTTTATGATTACAATTTACAATGTGTCTACAAACTGTTGTTTTTTAGGCTCAATGCTTGATCTTATTGGAGGAGGATCTCAGCAAAGCGCGTCGCGGTCAGGTACGCCGGCCGTGGGCGCGCACAGGAAGAGCCCTACTGCGGACCAGGGCACGCAGGTGTGTTCATAACACCTCTTGTTTTCTAAAAAATAACCACAACATCTACCGAAATATAGTAAAAATCACGGTACATAGTTATAACAGTAGATAGTACATTAAGTTAGACTTTAAAGTAAATAATAAATGTTTTTCTGGATGCGGCCTTGCCATAGACTACAACAGCAGATTCTGGAGGGATATTCTCGCAAACATTACAAGCGGCAAGTGAATTAAATGTTGCTTACACCTATTTATTTATATCCCAATTAGACTAGTCATCTTCCATTTCTAATATTATTTTAGTGGAACGATGAGCTGGAGAATCTGTTTAATTTTAATGTTATTTTGACCTGCATTTCAATATTATTTGTGTATTCATGCATTGGTTTGAATGTTAATTACTTTAATTAATATATTAAGGCAAGTGGCGTTCCTGAATAACTTATATTTGTTATTTCGTTTTTATTTCTATTTTATAAATTACTGCAATCAAGGAAAAGACAATTAGATGTAATAGAAGAATTTTATATAAAAAGAACAAGCTAAATTCCCAAATAAACATTTTGCTTACTGCTCACTCATAACAGATTACATTACTCATTACTTGAATTAGAAAACAGTAGAACTCATCATCATCTAGTATTCGCTGCTACATCACTTTTCAACCAAAAAGTGTATTATCCATCTGATTCTTATTATATATTCCCATTTGTAGAACTTAGGTGTTTAAATGACATGGTTGTGTAGGTCGGCTCTGTGGCTAGTGGGTCTAGCCAGCAGCGAGACAGCCGACGCAACAGCAACGGTCAGGCGCAGAAGGGTCCGGGAAACCGTAACCGCACGAACTCACGCAACCGGCAGCGCTACCCCAGCGGCGGCGCCCCATCCACGCACCAGCCGCAGCACCAGGGCCAGCAACACTCGCAGCAACATGCGCAGCACAGCCAACACAGTCAGCCCTCCACCAACCAGCAGGCACATCACCATCACCAAGCTGGTAAGACCTCTTTTGTTCATGAGCCACTCAAAAATACCAGGCCCTATTTTTCCCTCTATCATAGGCGAATCATTATTCTGTTCATAAAATGGTCTATCGGCTATTAATTTCAGTAGTTACATTATTGTATATTAAATATTTTGTTCAATATCATGTATAAGTTTAGACTATCCAATCTCCTATTTTGTCATCAGGTAACTTCTCTGGAGCCGGACAGGGCTACAACCGTGGCGGTTGGAGAGGCCGGCCCCGTGGTCGCGGTCGTGGTTTCGTTCCCCGCAACAAGAATACCCTGAAGTTCGACAAGGATTATGACTTTGAGCAAGCTAACACTGAATTTGAGGAGCTACGTAGCCAACTTGCCAAGACTAAGATATCTGATGGAGAGGTGAAAGTTGAGGTAAGATAAACAATTGTACCTTTCTAAATTTATTTCTTTATAACCATTTATTTGAGTGATAATGCTATCCATATTTAATTGACAAAACCTTGATCACTGTAGTAGTAACCTGGAGACATGCTAAAATTGCATAAATTTTACTACAAAAACATTTAACTTAGGTAGAGATAGATTTAAACTGCCCAAACATAATGAAGGAAATAATTAGCATTTATATCAGAATGTTAACTTGAATTCCCTGTCGTCATATCAGGTGTTTCCATACATAACTGCAAAACACGCGTCGTTACAATTATGTCATAGTCGATTTATTGTGTTACGTACAAATTACGACCGTTCATTGATTCGAGATTTGCGTTTAAGCTTGAATTATGTAATCATTCATTGACGTCTAATAAGATTACGCGAAATTATTTTGTTTTTCTAAAGAATACGCAATTATAAAATGTAACTAATTATTTTTGTGGTAGATTAGTATTTTATTACATATTAGGATGCACTCAAAGTATTTTGGTGTGATTTTCAATAGGGTAGAATTGGAAATCCCAAGATTTTATAAAATATTTTCATTAAAATTTCACGAACGAATAGATGATGTTGGAGACAAAATAAATCAGATAATTTCCTCTTGTTTTCAATTTGCCTATCCTTCCGCGAGCGTTCGCGTCACGCTCAATCAACCGTTCACTATAAGGCACTTTTTGCCACGATAATGTGTTAACAATTGCGAATAAGATTGACAAGTTAGTACTTCATAATACTTTTCAAATCGAGGCATAAAAGTGTTTTCAGAAAGAACTTGACTGCATGATGCAATTTCTTAGGTGATAGTCTAATCTGATTATAAAAATTGTGATCATCAAAACATGATAAGAAATTACAAATTGTACAAAGTGCCATTCCCATAATTTTAGCAGTAAAAAATTTGTTTGATTTATCATTCATGCAAGAAAGGTTCAGATTTTCTGTTCTTCTCTCTTCAATACATAGTATAAAACAAAGTCGCTTTCGCTGTATGTCCGTATGTATGCTTAGATCTTTAAAACTACGCAACGGATTTTGATGCGGTTTTTTTTAATAGATAGAGTGATTCTTAAGGAAGGTTTGTATGTATATACATATTGCACCCGTGCGAAGCCGGGGCGGGTCGCTAGTCTATACTAATATTATAAAGAGGAAAGATTTGTATTTTTGTATTTTTGTATGTTTGTAATGAATAAACTCAAAAACTACTGGACCGATTGCAATATTTTTTCACCATTAGAAAGCTGCATTATTCAGAAGTAACATAGGCTATATAATATCACGCTAGGTCCTATAGTTGTGGAGCAGTAACCAAAAATGTTTTCAAAACGGGGAAAAAGTGTCGTTTCTGAGGCCTTCCGTGACTTGCGCTGAGCATATAGTTAAAGTTATACAAAAATGCTCTAGGTATTGATGAATTGTTCATAAATAAATGAAATAAGTAAATGAAGTCCGGAAAAATATTTTCAAAACGTAAAGACTTCCTAAATAAAAAAAACTGGGAATAAATAGAAATAAAACGTAAAACTATGTAAAAAATCTTAAGTCCCCCCGTGCGAAGCCGGGACGGGCCGCTAGTCTTAAATATATAACAAATAAATAACACAAACTTACTCATCTAGCATGTCTCCCAAAAGCTATTATTTATTTTTTGAGTTATTGTTTGTCTTTTGTTTTTTTTTTTTGTTTTGTGTATTTATCAAAATTTTTAATATTTTTTTTTTATATTTCGGACGTCACAGGAGTCTGAAGTAATTATTATAACGCAGGGTGAGGTTGACAAGAAGGATGACTCTGGAAATGAGACTGGTGCGGGTGAACCCGAAGTTGATGAAGACCAGAATGGTTATACAGGATATGACAAGAACAAGAGTTTCTTTGACAACATCTCCTGTGAGGCTGTTGAGAGGTGAGTAACTTTATTACACTTGCACAATTATAAATCAGATTACAATTTAAACAGGTCAATGTGTAACAGTGATCTTCTAGCATAGGATGATCCATCAGATAGTTTGCACATGATTCCTATCCGTTTTTTACAATCTAGCAATATAACTTTTACCATACTGATTAACTATAAAGCAATTTTTCAATAGACACTTATTTAATGGTAATCGTTTGCAGGTCTAAGGGCAGGAGCCAGCGAACAGACTGGCGGACGGAGCGCAAGTTGAATTCTGAGACGTTCGGCGTGGCGTCCGCGCGCAGGGGAGCGTGGCGCGGCCGCGGGGGCTGGCGTCATCACAACCCTCAGCATCAACAGTACGCGTAAGTTACTCATCAAACCACTATAACTTTACTAAGTTCTTATGATCTTTCCTATTTATCCAATTAAAATAGTTGTAGCTGACCCTTAAATGCATCAAGATTTGTTAAATTTTTGGGTGGGTGGCTACTGCAAATCCTTCCTAGCTTACAGCTGGGAATTGCAGATAAACATATACTAAATTTTAATACTAATAATGCAAACAAATACCACTCTTAAACCAAAAGCTCACAGGTCATGAGTCGCTCGCGACTTATTTCTCACATAAAACACTTTTCCAATGACTCTTAACCAAGTATGTTTGTCCACAGTAACTACGTACACAGTTTCTCAGACGACGGTAGATGGCGTGCGATGCGCGGTGGTCCCCGTGGCGGCCCGCGCGGCGGAGGGCGAGGTCCCCGGCCGGCGCCCGCGCCCGTCGCGCAGCCCTCCACCACGCAACCGCAGCCCGCACCCACTGCGGGTATGTAGTACCTATGTACAGTACTTGATACTCTGCTTCTCATACCTCACATGAACGAAATGTTTCTCATATGAGATTTCTTTTTGTCCACAGCTAAGTAGGGTTTACTGAAGAGCGTCCGCTACACTGAAAGAATTTTTTATCGCAGCAGGGACTATTCAAAAATGGATAAGTGACGGAAAAGTGTTAGTTTGGTGATAAAGTGTCTTGTATTGATTTGAAAAGTAATGTCTTTGCGGGAAGTTAAAATGTTGTGGAGATTCAAGTTGATGGACATAGTTTTGGTGTGATAGTGTTGTATCCAATATAATGGAAGGATAAAGATGGAATTTCCCGTAACCGCACGACAGAACAAAATGTCGGTACACTGAGAAGGCTCACAGTTAGTATAATGTAAGTATAGGAGTGTCGTGAGCGATAACGCAATTAGGCAAGACGTTGGCATCTACTAAATTGAATTGTATAATGTCACAAGTCGACCAATAGCTGGATGATATTAGGCTTATCTATGTAATTCAAACGATGCCAATGTTGTTGGTGAGTGAGATGAAGCCACTTGTAAATTTCAGGGAGGCTGTGCAATGAAAGATTGCATACAACATATATTTATGCAATGAATTATAAATATTTTCATAAAGCTTACCTCCTCACCTGTATGATTATTTGTGCCTATTTAGTTGTAAACCATATATTTAAAGTACTAAAACAGTCTGCTATCACTCGAATGGTCATTGCGCCTCAACTTTATTTATTAACTAGCGATGACATGCGACAGTCTACGCAGCAGTCCTACTAAAGTGTTAGTAAATTAAAATGAGGATAAATTAGTTTATTACCTGCTGGCCAGATGTTTGATGTGTAATTATATAAATCATTGTGGGTTAGAGGCTGCCTCGGCAAGTTATTAAATGTAAAGTGTTTATTGACTGTCATTCATTTGTAGTTAGTACTAAATAAATGTGATAGATGGACTGCTGCCACATTGTGTAGGAGACGTGTTGGTGGCTGGCCTGTCCGAGGCGGCTCGCTCCTCTATACTCGACCTACATCAACACGTGAAATAGTAAAGTCTATGTTTATCCAATTTAATTAAATTTTTGTAAAACTTTGTTCTCGAAAAGGACTATCTTATTTTCTTGTACTTTATTTGGAATCATCAATTTTAACCAATGTGTGTTCATATTGGCAGGTCCTTTTCATGCATAAAATCTTTAATAAATTTTGACAAACATAATATTTGTAAAAATCTGTAACTCGAAAGCTGTACCTGGTGATTGTATCAATATAAAAATATAACTTTACTACAAATCTTCCAATGGGTGATTTCATTTAAAACAACCAAGTTCAATTTCCAATTTTATTGCAAATAAGCAAAATAGCGTAGCTTTTGACTTCATCAAATAAATCAACAAATATGTCATACAAAATGTTAAAAACATCGAAACAATCTTACAATCTTTGGAGGACACATACATGAGACCTGCCTGCAGTAATCGGTTCACCTGGCGCATATAATCGCTACCCAATACTGCAGGCAGTTCGTCAACATAAACCCAAAATGTTTCACATCCGTAACTTACATTTTCCAAGCAGTTAAAATACAAAGTATGCACATCCTAAAATACACACTTGTTTGTATACAATATAAGTATTCATTACAATGATTAAAGTACACAATATATATCACGACATACGACATTTTATATTACACATTATTTTGGTTTTAAAAGTATATCTTAAAAAATATAATGCCTCACGCTGGTAGGCTTTACCGACTAGGTGAACGAAATATTTACACAACCACGACCATTCCTCTACAACGTGTTATGCAAGTTCAATTATACATACATGAAGTAAAAGGGATTTATCCATAATCCATAAGTATATTTGAAGCGTTTCCTATCCTATCGTATTCTTTGAGCTTACATTATATGCCCCAATTTCTAAGTGACTTAGATTTTAACATAAGAAAATACTAGGCACATACGCATTATTAAAGTGTATGTCTGAATGTGGCCTTAGTAATGGTTTCCATTGTGATCGAAATATTGGGACTTGGGTGGGTATAAAAGAGGTAAAAAATGTTTAATTCTAAATAAGCAAGGGGTCACTGAGTACATAGCCATTCCTTACGTCCTTACTTCTTATTATCATAAGTCTTCTACAATTTTCACCATCAAACAATCCACGGGCTTCCTAATTCGTCTCGACCCACAATGGAAAATGCGATTATACGCATATTGTGATAAAATAAAGGGGTTTTCATGACAGACTTAACCACGCCACTCCCGCGCTGGTGTTCCATTGTCCACGATCCATACAGAGCCACTCTGACCCTTTGCCAAGATTTCCACTAACGCGCGGCCCACGTGCTCAGAGCTGGAAAATATTATGAAGACTTTAGTACAACAGAAGTATGGAAATCCGAACATGAGACTTGTTTATAAAGTCGGATTTTTTAAAACTTTATCTAATACTAGGATATTTCTTTTATGTCGTAAGGTCATTTATAAACATTCACAGACATATCACACCCAGATCCAGGAGTCGGGAAAACAATTTGTGGGTCACACAGAATTGTTCCGTACAGGAATCGAACCCACCACAAGTTGCACAGCAGCCAGATGCTGCGCCAGCCGTACAATAAAGCATAACCTACCTACGTATGTAGGTAATTATCATGTTACCATACCTCTGTATTTTGCAGCTAGCATTATCCCTCTGCCAAGCGGCCTCGTACTCCGACGACATGAGCTGCTTACGGATCTCCTTGACGAGACCAGTGTCGGTTAGACCGGGGCAAATCACCATACTCCGCACACCAGTCAGATTCACGTGGTATTGATCCTAATAAAAAAAATCAATTGTAAAATGTCACCACCCCGCCCTGCTCTTTCCTAGTAAAGTTCCTGCGAAACGTTGACACGTTTGTTTTTCAGAGATAAGACCCTTATTTTGTAGAAGATATTTATAGAGCAGCAAGACTCACGTTAAAGAATTTAAAATTGCTTTCTAATATACTGTAGCTCGCTTCCAGCCACCTCCATCAGATTTATTATTACCATAGAACAGACCGTACGACACATTTCATCTCGTGATCGAAAATTCAATTTTTCGCACTTCTGAGTGTAACTTCATTCGTGCAGGGGCCGTGGCACGGTACAGATGTTCCTGTACCTATAGTATATACTGTAAAGTGTAGAGAAATATTTACTTATTTAGTGAAGAATACTTAATGTAATCTTTCTTCAAAGGCCTTTAGTGAGTAATTCAAGGTACACACGCTAATTGAGATGCTCAAAAATTTAAAAACGCTTGTCGATTCGATGCTTGTCGATGCCCGAAATGAGTATGCTAATTTTTAGTAACATTCTGACATAGGTATGTACATGCTGCTGAGTGACAAGTGTATGCTTTCGGGCTTGAGATTAGCATGTATAACAGTTGGTACCTTAACTGTGGGTAGAGATATTGGCTAAAGTTGACGTGTGTAAATCGTGAGTTTTGGGTGCTGAAAAGTTAAACTTACTCCATAAGCCCTGGTCAACCCCACGATGGCGTAGTTAGTGGCCGTGTAGATGGGCGTGGAGACCTGAGGTCTGGTGAATGCAGTGGACGCAGTGTTCACGATGGTGCCGCCCTGGCCGCCGCGGTCCTTACTCATGAAGCGATAAGCCAGCAGAGTACCACGTATCACGCCGTTCTGTCAGGTAAATGGTGGTATCTTATAACTTAAATTTGCATTACTTTTGTTTGTTATCTTGTTCTGTGAGGATACTGAACCCGCGAAACTTTGCGCTTTATGTGGTTGCTCAGCCACCGTGGAGGGCGAACTACCGTACCTAATATGTTTTGTGATATTATAAAAATTAATTCCTTTTAAACTACCTAGGTATCTCTATGATAATAATGTTTATGGGTAGTAGGTATACCATCAAATAATTCCTGTCTAGTTATGCACTTTCAAACATGTGCAATCTGCAATACCCATCTTGCTTTTATAAAATATTCAGGCGGAAATCGAACACGCAATAGAACTAGCTATAATACCTACGTAGTTAACTTCAAAAAAATTTATCAAGCGCTTTCGAAAAGTTTTACTTTACAAGCTATAAAAATATTCAAATAAAATTGAGAGCTCTAGTTTACCGGAAGAAATAGAGAAGTGAACTTCCTTCTTCCAAAATTAAATTTAGTCGAACGACTATAAATAGACAAAACTTACTAAATTAACGTCAACCTCCAATTCCCAGAATCGGTCGTTCATTACTCCTGCGTTGTTGATCACTATATCCAAGCGATTAAACACTTCCATTGTCATCTCGAACGCCTCTGTAAGATAATATTAAATATATATAATTATATATATATATGTAGTTATTAGTAGTAGTAGTTATGTTATTTCCAATTTATATATTATCTTTTATAGTATTGTTATTTAGTAATATTGATAATTTATCTTATGTAATTTACATTATACCTATTACACCTACTGTTGCACATCTCTGCATCACCCCATGGTTGACTGTTAGAGAATGCCACCCGGCATTAAGTCCGCCATCGTATGTTATAATATACAGAAGTGTAAATAAATAAAATAAAAATAAATAAATATTAGAAAAAGATAGTAAATATTTAAATATACGTATTTACCGACGAATAACATTATAAAATGAATTTTGATAACGGTTATTAAACTTCTTGGGAATTTCCTTCCTTTAATGATCGGCTTCAAAGTGATTTATTCTCTCCTCCATAATGCGTTCAGAAATACCTTAGTTAAGTTTCCCCCTTTTAGGAATTATGTCTAAAAATAACTTCTTACGCTTACAGCTCACATTTTAACGTTACTTGGTAAAGTGAAGGGTTAAATTTTATATTTGCACGCAATGCCCTGAACTTACCCTCGTATTGGGGATAGTCGGTGACGTCACAGCGGCAAAACAGTACGTTCTTCCGTCCATACTTGGAGCCTAGATCGTCGACCACTTGCTCGCCAATTTCCGAGTCGATATCACAAATCGCAACCTGTAAAGTGCCACGAGGATGTAGCGGCGAAAAATTCAGATTTTATTAATATTATTTTTTACCTATAACCTTTAATTGATAGGTATCTATTGTAGTCTTATTTGTCTATCATTATTAATGTCGATCTCAACGCTATAAATCCATAGGTGATTCACGTTACTATTATTTTCCTCTATATTCAGTGGCTACAAAGTGTATTTCCCTATTTTGATCGCGTATTACACGATAATAGGTATAGAGCTGACTAGTACCTCTAAATTAGTACGTAGGTACCCTGTTTAAATCGAATGAATCGAAAAGGGGTATGATCGTAGCGCAGTGGTGTAGTACTGTATATCCGCAGTTTACTTATACATAAAACACGTTTTCAGAATAAAGCTACGTATGAGTTTAAGATACTTAATTAATTCAATCATTATCGTTCATAAGCACACTGAATGGGCATATCAATATCTATAAATTTATGTGAACGCAGTACTTAGAGAAGTACAAAGAAACTTAAAAGGAAAACAATCACACCAATGACCGGGGCGCCGGCAAAAATCAATACAAGTGAGCGCCGGCTCTCCGCTGATCCTCTTTACTATCAATTAGAACATTTGTCCCATACTCAAGTACGACACTTGTGTAGTGTTGGCGAATATCCAGTACACTCCATTCAACAGTTATTTACCTTGAACTTAATATTTCTTTGAGAACTACGCCATGCGCAGAGGAAGTCTTAGAAGAATATTTTCTGAGTTGAACATACCTTTGCTCCTTGTTTGAGCAGCTCCTGACTGTAAGCGAGGCCGATGCCGGCCGCGGCGCCGGTGATGAGGGCTACCTTCCCCTTGAGCTCCATGTCTAATTATTTACTGCTCGAAAATGCGCCGCGCCCCGAAGCGACCGCGTTCACTACCGCCTTCGTTGTGGTTCGATCGCGACGGAAACTCCGCACGGCGGGAGGGGGCGGTCTCTCCCGTTTTCTCCCTAGTTCCCCCTCCGGTAGTAAATATACGCACGATTGCACTACACTCTCGCCTGCCCGTTGATTCAGGCTTGTTATAGGGCATCCCTATATAGCTACTCGCCACTCACATTTGTTTGTACGTGATCGTATGGGCGGATAATGTAACGTACGGCTTGGCTTTAATGAAATACAGCACTTCCGGAAAAGATATTTCCCGGAAAAATCAAGTGTTGGTTTCGAAAATTATTTACATGTAGATGTACATATTCTAAGAAAATAAAACTAGAAATAGTCATAGTTTTTTCTTTATTTGTCAATTTCTCTATCTTTCAATCAGGTACAGTAAATTTTTCAGTAAATTAAAAAAATTAACAATTTTACATTTTTTTGAATTTTCTCAAGCACTAAGTGAAAAATATCACAGATACAACAATATCGCGAAGGTTCCGCCCACCGCAATATCGTACACACATCCAAAACGCGACCACTCTGATTTCCCACGGACGCGAACTGTACACAAATATACGAAAATAAAATTTTTCACAAACTACACTATAAAAAACTTGAAATTTACAACAAATCCCTCGCTTTAAAACAATATCTAAAATACCCATAATATTATTTTAGGGACCTGCATTCCCTTCATTATCGTAAGGCAAATCATTTTGCCTGTACTTAAAACAATAAAATACAAAATATGCTTGGACATGATCTGTACAATAAAATAAGCCCATACCACCATGATTTTCGATACATAAAATAGATCACAAAACTCTATGTACAATGAAAATATCACAGAGATATACGTATCAATCACAAAAGCCACACAATGGCCACCATTTTGGTTCAAAAATTGGCCAATTGGAGAACTTGAAAATGTATCTGAAAATATCTTGATCATCGTTGGCGTTGTAGTTGTTTTGGAGGAAGCGAAGGATTGATGGGGAGTAGCTGCATCTTGAGTGGAGTGTATTTGTGTGGTTGGTTTTGGTTTGAGGGATGGTCAGGAGTGGTGTGCCTGGTCTGCGCCGGCGGCAGGCACGGCTTTGGCGAGGTATGAGAACGACCGCGCGTTGGGCAGGCCAGCTAAAACACAGGCACTTAACGCTGATCGGTTCAAGTTCATGGGTGCAGCGTCGTACCACTCCATCGTGTCACCATCATAGCACTCCACGTGGGGTATCGTAGTTGACCCTGGTAAAATTAGATTCATGGTTTATGGATAGAGAAAGATAATGGAGTAATTTATTGCCTTGGCAGTTACCGTTAAATCCTCCAATAACGAAGATCATGTCATCAAGTAACACCGTAGCGAAGTTACTTCGAGCGCTGAACATCTCCGTCACCTCCTGCCAGTCCCCGCCGCGCTGCGGGTTGAACCTTTCGCCTAAGAAGAAATTGGACAATTACTAATTTTGAAGCAGAAGTCTTTACAAGTTAACTTGTGGCTATAGGCCTGAATTAAGTAAAAGTATAAAGTAGGATTGTGTAAGGTAGTGCTACTAAGGCTGAGGGCTGATGTTATAGTGCTACATAATGTAACAAGGATTGTGCCTACTAAGAGATTACCTGTGTTCAATCGGCTGTATCCATTAAATCCCCCAAGTGCGTACAGGCAGTCCCTATAAGCGATAAGGCTGACTCCGGATCGGGGACTGAGCATCGATCTGATGAAGCTCCACTGTTTTGTGTCTGGATCGAACACCTCGGCAGAACTTAACACTTCTTGGCCGTTGAATCCACCAACGATGTATATCTGAATGAATTATATCATTTATCAATTTGTCATCATCATCCGAATACGTTCACTGTAAAACAAACCCGTTGGCCTCGCAATGTGTAGGGGTTTACCAAAAACTTAACTCTTGAAGTGGCAATATCATCGTCATCTTGAAACTAATTCTGAACAAAGGTCTATCAGTTATAAGAGCCTAATGCCCTGGTCGCAGTAAATAGGTCGTCTCAGAATAGGTAGCTAAATCTTCTATAGAACAATATTAGTGGTTTTAATTTTAAGCTAAGTACTAGTTGTTCATCATTAAGTTTAAATCTATGGGCACCTGGCGTGACTTGATACTACTCATGCTACCTCGTCGAACATTTAAGTTAGTAAACGTACAACATAATGGGGCTAACGTTTACGGCTTACTAGATGGCACAAATGTAGAAAAGAGTTTTTAGTCCAATCACAGCAGCTGTCAAATATTGAACGAGATCCACATTAGCGTCATCTGGTGAGCAAAAATACGGTAGGCCTCATTAATCCATTATTCATTCACCTTTCCACCAAGAGACGCGGCACTAGCGTCCGAGCGTTGCTTGTTCATCGGCGTAGTCATTTCCCATTGATTCTTGTCAGGATAGTAGCGCTCCACTGAAGACATGCGCGTACGTCCGTTGTAACCACCCAGGGCGTAGATTAAACCATCTTTAAAGTACGACGTATAAAACATTAGACCTACTTAACAAATAACCTGATAAACTAATTTATAAAACGTCGTTGATATTAATATCAAAAGTTAATTATCTTTGTATTGAACTAGCGTAGAGTAGGTAGGTACGTATTAAATTTCGTGAGCTGTTAATAAATTTTAACTTACCATGAGCCACAACGCTAACGTAGCACCGCGCCTGGTACATGCAGGCCCTTTCATGCCAAGTGTTTGCCACAGGGTCGTAGCACCGAACGGTGTTGAAATGATCACTCCCATCGAAACCACCGATCATGTAAATTAAGTTATTCAATGTGCAAAGGCCATGGTACGCTCGAGGTGTCAGGTCCATATGAATAGACAGAAACCATCGGTCCGCCCTGATTGAATAAAATTAAATTATTCACATAAGTTACATACCAAAAAATTATTAAAAATCGCGCGGTTTTGCCCATAGACAATCTGCCAGCTAGAAGGTCTAGAGAGATCCTCCATCTAAATTCTAAAATTCTATCGATATTGTTGCAGCATAATATTGGCAATGGTTAGTAAGAATAAAAATGAGCAAAGTATACCTTGTATCGTACGTTTCAACAAAACTAGTAGGACTACCAGCGCTCCAACCACCAACTGCAAAAAGTATCTCAAAAGGTATTCGGGGCCTTGCTAAAGGATCATTAAGATCTGCTTCTGTCCCTGGCCTTGAATCCAATAATGTAAGGAATACTACGGCTGGATACAAAGCTTCTTGACATTTCTGTAAAGAAATAGAAAACTAATGCATGTGAAGACTATAGGTCGACATTTTAGACTAGATAATATGATTCTTATTGTTTTACCTCGTCTTCAGCAACCGGCTGCCATTGCAATATTTTCGATTTAAAATATTTATAGCTGATGTGACCAAACCGTACACATAATAGTAATGGTGGAATACATTTCCTTCTGTTTTCTAAATCGTGTTCCACCCAAGTTTTAACTGCTTGGAATACTATTTCTTCGTTTCGAACATTCAGTTCGTCATCTCTCAAAATATCTTCTAATTCATCATATGAAAGTGTTTTAAATTCAATACATTCCTTAAGTATTCTGCTAAAATTCTGTCTTATATACAACTTTCCTTTCTTTTCTAGCTCACTACAGAAATAATATCTTGCGAATTTAAATATTCCAAGACAGTTATGCGGCCTCAGCTCGTGCAAAAGGAACTGACAGCATAGCTGTATAACACCAACAACATCAAATTGATCCGCATATGGTAAGAGATATTCCACGTTTTCTGCAGTCACTGTGCAAGTTCCTGTGTAGGCATAGTCGAGAATCAAGGTCATGTAATAGCTAGGGACATCGACAAAAATTTCCGTTTCCTCAGGCTCTCCTTTCTTTAACGAATTAATAAATATGGCTTTGAAGTATGGACTAACGGCAGATAGTATCGCCCGATGCACTCGAATTGTTTTCATGTCCCTGCACACGATAGTGCCATCGCACAGCTGACCGTTCTGTCTTAGTTCATTCCATATCGTAGGGAACTCTACAACTGAATAATTTTCAGGGAGGCAAACGCATTTTCGTTTTCGCGTAACTATCTTTTTTTTGGTCAATCTGGGTTTCGAGGATGAAGGAGTACGAACAGAATTTTTATTTTTTGATAATTTTCGATGTTTCGAATTAAATTCCATTCCTTTCGAAAAAACGGCGGTCGAAACTTGTTATCTGTCGCGATGACAGACTTGGCGACAGTTGAGATTCATTTGTTCAAATTCCCTATGGCACATCAATTCAAATTATCTTCTATGCAATTCTATTCCTGCCTGACTTATTTTTTATTATGAAAAAACTATATTGTCCAGACCTGAAGACGGTGAGCTGTGCGCTAGTAGCAGTAGGGCTAGTGACCGGCGGGAGGGCAGCAGCAGTAGGACACTAAGGCAGTATTGGCGCATTTACCGGATCTGAGAGACCAAAACCTCTTTCCTCCTTTCGACAGTCACACTCGACACCGCCCAACCAATGGGCAATGAAGCATGAAGAATATGAAGTGAAGAAAATGATTTGCACCTTATCCAAATACATACGTAGAATATTCATTCATCATTGAAATGATACTTAGAGTACCTAGGCAGTGATCCGGTATGTTGTATAATAAACATTTCACGTTTGAACGACGTCTTGGACATCGATGGTTTAAACTTTCTACAATACCTTCGTTCAAACTGTGAACGAAGGTATTGCAAAGAGTATTGATTTAAAAATAAAATACTTATTATTACAGAATGTAAACACTAGATTTTATAATAATTTTTCGTTTAAATCTTTATTTTAACATTATTATTCCTTTAAACTTATCCCTTTGATTTTTTTTTGCCTCATTACAAGTTTTATTTTGATATAGTTATATCAAACGTCTAGTCTATGGCAAAATGTTTACCCTTGCCAGACCACAAAAGAGTATCGTCTTTGTATTTTTTGGTACTGGCAGTATTTTTTATAGCTGTCAATAATCTACTTTGTCTATAGTCTCTTTTTCTTCCGGTTGTCAAGATGGTGAGTTTTGGTTACTGTGAAAATAAAATAAATCTTTGAAAATCGTGATGAAAACAAAGTGTTGTGTGAGTTCATGGTGGTTTTTACTTAAAGCAGTGTTATCAATATGTGTTCCTTTGCATATTTCAGGGTATCGACATCAACCATAAACACGACAGGAAAGTTAGGCGCACCGAAGTCAAGTCTCAGGATGTGTACCTGAGATTGCTTGTAAAAGTAAGTCGAACTAAATTGTTTTATACTGTATTAACCCTATTCATTACTTTCCAATTCATAAACATCAACTTATGAAACTTTCAGTTTCTAACCTAAACTTGTTATTGTTTCCAGCTATACAGGTACTTGGCTCGCCGTACGAACTCTAAGTTCAACACGATCATTCTTCGTAGGCTGTTCATGAGCCGTATCAACCGACCTCCACTATCGTTGTCTCGGTTGGCCCGTCACATGAAGAAGCCTACTCGCGAGGGCATGATTGCCGTCGTGGTAGGAACCATCACCAATGATGTGAGGCTGTACACGGTGCCCAAGATGTCAGTTGCTGCTCTGCACGTCACCGAGAAGGCCCGTGCCCGCATCTTGGCCGCTGGAGGTACTGTACACTGTTGTTATTATTATTGTAATTGAGGTTAGAAAGCATGCATGTAAATATTATAGTGACACTCAAGCCTAATTAGTAAGCACTCCGGCCCCAAGTACCTTGAATTTGCAGTAATTCATGGCAAAGTTTTAAGGACTTGCAAAAATGTGATTACCAAACGAAGAATATTATATTGCACAAGTTTGCAGATAACTTCTCTTACTACCCTTTTTTCAATGAATTCTAATGTTACATTTATTTGTAGTAGTGTTATTGAGAGATGATTCACAAAATATCCAAATCATTAACAAGATTAAATAAGTAACAAGTTAAAATCACAACTTTTTGGGCATGGATTATGCCTAAATAAATTATCTCATACTGATTGATAATTTGATGTATTTTGTATGCAGAATATATCCGTTAACAGAAACTTAATTGGAAAAAATGAAACAGGTTCTTATGCTATCAGGATAGTCTTTCACAGACTAATTAACAGTTAAATTGTGAATATTTGCAACAGGCTTTTAATATAACAAGTAAAAGTTTAATTCAATATGAAATCAAAATGTTCTATTTAAACACTTACATGTCATTGTGTCCAACTATCATGCAAATGTGTACCTTGATTCTGTTACTAATATTGTTTTATAACACAATTTTGTTATTTCTTGTTTAACTCGTCGAGTACCGGTTTTGTAGACACAATTATAGAACAATAGGTTGCGGTCACCGGTGACCGCTTGGTGTTTGACAGTTTAATTTCAAATTCAAATTTTTATTGCAATCCACAATGTTTTACTTAGGTGGTAACATAGAATAATACAGATCATTGTGGACCCTGTCGGGCACAGCAGGAAATATATAAATTTCTTATTATCAGAATCAATATACTTTTAAATAGTTATGTATGTTTATATATAGTTATATAAGTTTATAATGTTGGATAGGAGCCTATTCTACTCTGATTTGTGTCCAACTATGACAAGAATAATTACTTTATAAACATCATCTATCTATAATTCAAGATTTTGTTATGATGTTATGTCTAAATCTTTTACACTTACCAATAATGAAATCATTTATTCCATAAATAATTGGGGATATATTTTTGTTCATTGTAAGAACTGGCTTAGAACATCTCATCGAGTACCGTCATTATACACAATTATAGAACAATAGGTTGCGGTCACCCGTGACCGCTTGGTGTTTGACAGTTTAAAATACCATAAACTTACAGTATTGTACAAACAACATTAATTTTCAAGTCACTAAAATTAACATTTCAATTTATAGGAGAGATCCTGACATTCGATCAGCTGGCTCTGCGCGCCCCGACTGGCGCTAAGACCGTTCTGCTGCAGGGACGCCGCAACGCCCGTGAGGCCGTCCGTCACTTCGGCCCTGCTCCTGGAGCACCTCGCTCGCACACTAAGCCTTACGTGCGCACCAAGGGACACGAGCGCGCACGGCCACGCCGTCGCTCTAACGTGTAATCTTTAAATATAAGGACTACAAATCTAATTCTATGGTATTATTTCTAGATTTTTAAGAACTACCCAATTCAACGAAAATATGACTTGAAATAGACAATAAAACAAAATATTTGATATCACAGATTTTATTACTACTATTTATAATAGTACAGGAATATCACTACCTCTGTGAGGGAGAGTGTACAAGCGTAATTTAAAGTTTCGTTCTATATTCAGCTGCAAAATGCGGTCATCCAGTAATTGACAAGAGATTCGTCATGCTGTCCTATTCCAAACACTTGTTTTAATTTGGCCACTGCATCAGATTTAGAACCTGAGGAGTCTATAGCTGCCTTCACTGCTTTTGCTATTCTGTAAGCAAAAGTTTAAATCATAATCATAAATATGTACATCAAGAATAGTAGGTAAATAAACATTATTAGAATTTGTCTTCATCACATCATGCAGTAAGACACTGCTATCACAAATTAAATAATCTATTCACACTTACCCAAGCCATTCTAACTGAAGGGATTTCAAATGCTGATGTAGAACATCATCATTGAACTTGTCATTATTCATTGAATTTTCTATTCTAGTCATCAGTGTTGGACCTGAAAAAAAAAATTACATCAACACCTTGGGACTGTCCACGGCTGTAAAATCTATAATTCTATAATCTCCGCATTTAACATGCGGGCTTTTTTTTTTTTAAAGGGGGAAAATCATCGAATGACTGCTCCCGCCTGGGTGAGGCGGGAGGGAGTGTCAGACTCTTACTGACTAAAAACCACCCCGTTCATTCTCCTGCACGTCAAGCCGGAGCCCCGGTTACCCGTTAGGTTCTCCGCGACTCCGAATCGGCATCGGCCCTATTGGGCCCCATCTGTGGTGGTCTGATGGCTCTTTGAGGCGCGCGCGGAACGCGACGCGCCGTACGCTCGGGTCTATTTCTGGTCGGACGGGGAGCCAGCCATGCTCGCCGTCCGCAGGCCGGGCTCGCCATCCGCAGGCCCGAACATGTGGGCTGGAGATTGGTAAATAATAATATATACTTACATTTAGCAGGTAATGCACCACTCCATTTGTAACTAAAGTTATTGTTTTCAGTTTCTTCCAATAAGCACACAGTGGGTGGTAGCTGCTCATCAATTCTGTACTGTCGTATTCTATTGCTGTTCGTCATAGTTACTGGCAGTAATCTAGCCAAGCCATTTATAATGGTTGCTGTCTCCACATTACTTGATTTTATGACAATCTGTAACAAAGAATTTATTAGAGTTGAGATATCTATTAGACAATTTAAGTATATACATGGCTTTGTAGAGCAAGAGAACTTTTTAGTTTATAAAGACAAAGACAATTTTACGGTCTTACATGCACACATTACATGTACGCGTTCGGCGCTGTGATTGGTTGATTCATTGGCGCCGGCCAATCAGAGTGCCGAACGCGAACTCGTTTCGAATACTTTAAACGTAAATCAAACTCGTACTAAGGCCTCAGTACATTCAATATGAGATATTTTAGTCTTAAATCATAGATCAGTTTCACCCCTATTACATGGGAGATGGGACTCATAACATAAATAGTGAAAAGTAGGTGTTACATTGTACAGTGTACTGTCCGGCCTAACCCTTCGGGGACAAAAGGCGTCATGTTATATGTTATGTATCATAGCTCAGTAACTTACATATACTCCAGTCAAAGTACAGTACATCAATATCCTAAATACTGCCTTAGAAACTGTCTTCTCCAACAGTCTGAGGGACATGCAACTTTTGTCACTAGACACAGAACAAGTGCCTGGTTCAAATATAGATTTTTTCACAGCATGAGGTTGTAACTTATTGAGCAAATCGTGACTGGTGTATAGAGTTTCGGAATATGTGTGTGCTCCAGCTTTTAACATCCATGTGAAGTGGGAGTGTAGTCTTTTGAACACATTGTCGTCTCCTGAAAATAGGTAAGGAGTATTTAGGTACTATGCAATGTATCATTCAAAATGATCTTAGACAATATGCAGGAAAACACCAATGCCACACAGATGTGTTTTACTTGTTTGCTACATAACTGCAATGTTATGAATTATATGGGGAATTTCTGCTATGAATTGAAATGAAACCTTTATGTGTGAATTATACACAAGATGTTTATAAAGCAAGTTCCTCACCAGTCAAATGCATCAATGACCTTGACTGAACAAAGTCATTTCTTCCAGTTTTTAGCCTGAGAGCTCTTTGGGAACAAACCTTTTGCTCAGCATCAAACACTACTTCTGCCAACTCTTGTAATTCCTTTGCTATTTTCTAAAAAAAAAAAACAATTTAATGATGAAATATTTAAGTACAGGATGCACTGTAAACAAAATTATAAAATGGTAGTCTGAATCTCTAATGCATAGTGATAGGCTCTCCACTACATAGGACTTACCTGGCAAAAAGTAGATATTTTACTTTATACATTACTTACAAATTAATACCCTCTGCTTACCTCAGGGATTAAAAGGTGTTGTGTATTAACTCGTCGAGTACCGGTTTTGTAGACACAATTATAGAACAATAGGTTGCGGTCACCGGTGACCGCTTGGTGTTTGACAGTTTAATTTAATATAACATTTATTATATTAATTTAAGATAACTATATTAATCTTAATATAGCTCTACCTGCATATGTTCTGAAAGTAGAGGTGTAATATTCAGTAATAACATTTTGTCCTTCATTAGAACTACTATGGAAAACCATCTCTTCAACCCTCGAGCCCAAGTATCCTTCAGCTGGAATGTGAGGCTTAGGACATGTCCATGAGCATCATTGAAGTAGACCACACCTCCTTCTTTATTCCAATTCACCTGAAACATTAAATAGAGACTCTTATAATCATCTGATATAAACCCCAAAAATTGTTCATACAAAAGTAGTCTCTAAACATCGGAAATAAGGTCTATAATGGAGTTAGTGCAGAGTGGTCACCGGTGACAGCTTTGGGATCAGTTAAAAATGCATATTTACAGTTTAACTTCAATGTATATTTTATTTCATAATAGTTGTTACAGTACTACTTGATACAGTACATGAATAAATTTAAGCATCAGGATTTCATGCTATGTGCTAACTTCATGAGTTCATAAGGTCAGTAATAATAAAAACATTGGTTGGGAAACAGCTGTTCTTTGTTTACATTGATTTTTTTGACAAACAAGATGAAAAGTGGCAATTTGAACATAGTGCTTGTTTATTTGTTATTATAATTATTGTGATAAACGCATTTTTGTACTTTGTTTGAGATTTGACTTTCTTGTTTTCTTAGATGTTTGCCATTTTAGTGTTATAAAAGAAGTGTATATTGTGCTCCCTTGGCATAACCACTAACCCAGAGCCGCCCAAGCTGTGAATCATCTAAATTCTGAAGGGATATGAGATGTTATTGAGTGTATTAGTGCGTAGATCTTACTTCGCAAGTGATACTTCTTATCGCGGCCTGTCGCAAAAATGATGTGACTTCAGCGTTGGGAACTGATTCCCGGCTACAGTATATTGTCCCATCATCTTCTCGGGACACAAACACGGTCTCGGGACCCAAAGAAGTACAGCCACTGCACTGAACACTAGCTCTTGAAGATTCGGTCGTGTTATTATCACTGTCTGTGGTAAACGTACAAAATAACGGCCGTGGTCCATGAGCTTCGCAGAAATGACATAAACCCACGATGGCGTTCATTTCATTGCGGTTTTAATTGCTTTTTTTATATCATTTCACTTCATCAAGAACATCGTCTTCGTCTTACAATATTTTGACATTTGAAGTAACTTGATTTCAAATGACAGTCAATGACATTGACATTAGACTTACGTTATGTAGGTACCTACTTGTCGTATTATTTCATACTAATGGCTACTGCACCTCGATTGAAATTATGATCTCTTTAATTAAAATAGCCGCAATCTTACTGTCGGGCAATATGTATTATTATAATTAAGTTCTAATTGGAGAAAATTTAAGACCTATTATGTAGTGGTTTTATGGATACTGGTGGGAACGTGTCATAGCAGTATCCAAACGAAAAATGTAGCGGCACGGAATGTGGTCATGGGTTCGCTACCATTCCAGCTGTAAGTCCCCTCTTTGAAGAGTGCTTGAGAGACATGAGAGCTTCGGGAAGTACTTGTGTCTGATAGGGCGAGAGGGTCATCACTGCGAGGACCGCTCTTAGGACACGGTGGAACATACGGTGGGGGCATGCCCTACATGGGCTGAGCACCGCCGTGCCCTCAAGGATATGATCAATCAATTGGCAATGACGAAATCTCGCGTGATGCCGAGCGAAGAAGACTGGGATGCCGGCCGTCTGCCGCTTTTGCGAAGCAGTCATGCTAGGTAAGCAAAAGGCGGAGTGCGTGAGTCAGAGATCAGCATCCTCCTCACAACCCAGCGGTCGCGAAGGACACTCTGGGGGTCGGGGATCACGGGACGATCTCCAGCCACCGTAACCGAACAGGCCAGGACAGGCACGAAATGTGGTCAAAAATAATAATATAAGCCTTTATTCTGCTATAGCTGGACGCGTTAGAGCACATTGAGAGGCGTGCCAAGAGGCTCATCGACGATGATGCACTTGTGAGGCTCGGCTTCAAAGCCTCGAGCACAGGCGTAAGGTTGCAAGCCTTTCGGTTTTCTACCGGATACATTTCGGTGAGTGTGCGGGGGAATTGCACAACTTGATTCCCCCTAGTCCTTTCCATCATCGTACCACAAGACAATCGGCGAAGCGTCACCGATTCATGGTAGATGTTCCGCCCACACGCACGAAGCGCTTCGCTTCAAGCTTCCTTGTGCGTACTGCTAAAGAGTGGAATTCTTTGCCAGAGTCTGTATTTCCTGAAGGGTA